CAGTAGCATTGCAGCACTGCCTTCGCGTGGCACCCGTACGACACGGGGATGATAGGCACTCGTTGTTGTCTGCATGAAGAGCGAGTGAAAGAAATGGTAAGCAATCCAGCATTATCATCTTCGAAGCGAACCCAGTGCCTGTACAATCAATCATGCTCGACCCGACGACGTTTAATGAAGCGCAGTATAATGCATGCGTATTATCAACAGAAAAAATGTCTGAGAATATGTTGTCTTTGGACAAGAGCATGCTATATTTACAGCTCTGTACTGGCGACAGGCAGCCATCAGATCTTGATGTTACACCCTCAGGATCAGAGCCTAATTTGTTAGTCGTTTATGCTCTCAAGCTATCTACTGTACATGGCGGCCTGGCGCGCGAGTGGGGTTGTTCATGCAGTTGGCACATGTAATGTACATGTAAATGGTACAATGTATTTCACCTCTTTTACCTCTCTCACATTGTGTGTTGATAGATTTGTATCACCAATGGCATGGTAAGTTCGCGCCATGCTGCCTGCTGTCACTTGTAAGCCAACTCCATAATTATTAAATTTCGATGTCTTGCATTATTGCCACCTCATGCATTTAACTGAGAACGTAATACTCTTGCAGTCTAGATGGGAGAACCCCTCGTTGCTCCCCTAGGCCATAGAATCTGTCATGACTGTCTGTACAGCATAATACTTCTTCTCTCACCTCTAATGATCAACGTGTTCAGGGTATTTACATCCGCAAGCCTGGAAACATCACACAATCCAGCTGCTGAGAACTCGAATCTAACCTTGAAATACTGATCTATGGAACGGATGGAGAAGAGAAGACTCTGGTACTCGACATGGTCGTGTCTTGAAACGCTAACAGGTGACCATGCACCCCAAGATGACTGTGATGATTGGGCCCGTGTCAAGACCAGTCGAACGTTGCATGCCCCCTTCAGTCTGTACTGGATCTCGGTCAATTCAATATCGCAGCCAGGAGGGAACTCGTAGCTAACCGTATGGACAACATTGGGTCTCAACGGGTTGTCAAGGTGGATGGTGTCTCTCCAGAATTCATAGTAAAGACTTCCTTGAGCGTGAAAAGTCCGTTCGTTATCCGCAGGAACGCAAAGGTTGGTATCGGCGCCGGCAATGGAGACCACGCTAGCCCACGAGTGTAGCACGATCAACAGGACTACAAAGCACCGAGAGAACATGTTGATTCTGGATACCAGTGTATGCTGCTCAATCTCCGTGCACCAGCGTATTCTGTTGAAGGATGACCTTTTAAAATATTTCAATTGGAAAGTCTTCTCCGTCTCTCGAGCAGAGTTCTTCAGTTCCTCGTACTAGACCTGTGCGCTACCTCAAGGTCAACATTGCGGCTTGTCCTGTCGCCTTTCTCTTTCGACGTGAGCCCTGACTGGAATCAATAATCGCTCAGCACCCCGTCACACTGTGGGTATGAGTGGATCCGTATCATTGCAAAAGTGCAGTGGGCAAAGCTGCTAGTTGTGCGGCGGTCGATGGCGTTTGTGTCTCGGAATGGGCTATTGCGCAGTACATACAAACACATGCTGAGCTACTGATACAAGAGAGCATAGAATCTGCTGTTGCTAGAGGAAATCTAAAGAGCACGGAAGGGCAACATTATTAGCGTCTGGAAAGGCTAATGCACCAAGAATGCATCCTACATGAGTAACTGATTTACGGTCTTACAATGGTTACAGCATGCTTGCCACTATGCATCATTCCCAGCATTTCCTTTGACTTTGACTAGGCTAGACAGAGACGATGAGGGCAAAACATCTGTGCGAAGTGTCTTTGATGTGTTTCCTTCTTGGCACAATACAATCATGTATATCGAGGTCGAACCAGTTCCCCATGTTAGCTAGAGTGAGTGATATCCGCCATGATTCACAACTCGGCAGGGTCCCACTTTCTAAAACTATCCATGTTTCCTTGAACATCAGCCCCAAGCGCAAGAAAAGGGGCACACGTAAAGCATACCAACAGGAAACGGTTCTCGTCCAGTGAAGCGGGGTGCCGACATCCGTGTCAGACACAGGTGCTGATCAGGCACCTGCGGCTGCCAATTCAGCCATGTGCATGGAACGTGCCATCAATAGATTGGCGTCCTGCAGGATGCACGTGCTATGCCTCTGGTCTTGATAGATGAGAGGGCTGATTTATCAAATTGGTATTCTACAGTGGGGGTCCAATGTTTTGCGTTGGGATGTACCGGCAAAGATGACTCGAATGGAGAGCCAAGGAAGAATTTAAAGGAAAAAAATGCCAAGGAACTATTTCACAAGTACAAGTTACGCTATACTGTCCACTAACGTCACCAGTTGCTGGACAATCAGCTCATGCGATAACACTACACGACACTGACCAACACAACGGTACTGACGTTCTAAAACTAACTTCCGATCAGCTCTAGCACGACTTGGATGCGCACTCCAACAGCCTTCCAAATCGGAAGGTTCTTAGTTATATTACTAACATAAGGAGGGGAAGGTGCCCGCAACCAAGACACAAGCTGACGCCTGATGGTTTCAGCCATGGAGAACTTTGGCGGATGTACATACATGTCGATGACGATACTGACAAGACGATTGGATGGTGTAAAACCGAGCACCTCAGTAACACAGTAGGGACCATTAGCAAGCCGTGAAACGGCAACGCGAAGGGGGAGCTGGGTTAGAGTCCCATCCTGACCACGCGAAACATACTCGTGTTTGACGAGTTCGGAGGGGTCTACTCGTCATGACCGCAGCGAGTGGGTTTTAGTCAAGTACGTGCGATTTCAATCAAGATACGGAGAATAGCACCGTAAATCGCGCCTCTTTTGGTCTTTGCAATTTTTCTCAAATTTCGAAAATGTCTCACCCATTCTTGTTGGAATAGAATATGATGGCGAAACGTACCAAACGACCAGTAGGACCACTGATTTTGGCATAACCACTACTAACATGACACAGAACAGGATCGAGGGTAACCACAGTGCCAAAAGTAGGCTTGTTCAAGACAACCTTCAGCTTGCTCGCTCATGTTTTGTCTACTGCTCCGAAACGTACATTTTTTTTCAAATATTCTCAACTGACTAGCTCCATTGTAAAGTCTTTTGGAGAATGTTTTGGCATGGACCTCGTGAACACAACCCTTTGCTGCACCCATCCATCGGCGATGTGGCGGTCATGGGGTTTCTTTCACTTTCTTTCGGGTAGAAGTCAGTCAGGCTGAGAATTGTTCTCAAAGAAAAGTTCGCAAAAATCATTGCCAGTAAACTGTTTGAAACAGGAAAGTAGCCGACTCGCGTTGACGGGTTGTGAACGCGAGATTGCTCCTCCTAAATCACACCGTGTTTCACGTGCGTTCCGATGAACTAGATCCCATGAACGTTTCACGGCTTGCTAATGGTCCCTAGTACTACATGTATACTCGTACCCGGACAGTGACAATAATATAAATGGGCCAATAAGCAGGAGTAACAAGCAGCAGTTTCACACGACGATCGTTTGGCAGTATAGGTAAGGACGGCTCATTGCTCTCATTGTCGACGTACAGTACTGTATTACTGAGGCGTTCGGTTTTGCACAATTTATGTTCACTAAATCCAATGCTGTAGACAGCAAGCTGTTTCGGCCATAAAGGCCTCATCAGTACAGCTACGAGCTAAATAGGCCGAGCTACAAGCCATGGTGCAAAGGAGGCACCACAGACATTAAGGTAGCTCACTTATTCACTTATCAACAGACTATGGTTGAATCGACACAGTAGCATGCAATTCTCACAGCAAAACAGAATGTAGAGATCGTTATCAACCACAGGAATGATTGTAAGCAGTGAAAGATCAGCCAAGCAAAACGGCGAAATGTGAGGAAGTGCCTGTGTGGATTAAACTTCGAAGTAAGAAAAGAGGACTTTCTTTAAAAAAAACACCTGGAAACAAAATAATTACAGGTTTGAATATGTGGAACAATGTATCCTCATGCTTACCGCTATTGTGCCAGACTCAAGAAATATTGCCAGACCTGAGCTGCTTGGAAAACTGCCCGAAGAGAATATGAACAGTGTGCTACTTTTATAACAGATTCTAAAAATGTTTACACGAGCAAATGGAAAACCTCCTTCTCTGGGAAAAACACACTGGAGTTGGGAATTTGGGATCAACCTTGATAGTGGCAGAGAGAGAGAGAGAGAGAGAGAGAGAGAGAGAGAGAGAGAGAGAGAGTGAGAGAGAGAGAGAGAGAGAGAGAAAGCGAGAGAGAGAGAGAGAGAACGGGAGTTAGAGATAGAGAGAGAGAGACAGACAGAGAGAGAGAGAGAGAGAGAGAGAGAGAGAGAGAGAGAGAGAGAGAGAGAGAGACAGAGACAGAGAGATATAGATAGAGAGAGAATGATGTTGATGGAGGAGTTTTGAATTACTAGGTTTGGTGGTGGTTGCTGGTCTAAGTGAGAGCTATTCGTGGTGATGGATTTACTTTAAAAAATGGAACTTGCTGGAGGACATGAGCCCGGTAATTTTGGGTCAGGATCAAACGATGGGCTTTCATCAGATCAACTGATGTCCAGTGCCTTTTTACAGCATCAGTATCCATGATGTCGGGTTTCATTGTATCGGAAGAATTTTCAGCAGCGCTGGCTTCAACTTCCACTGGTGACCGGAGAGGAACTTGAGGTTCTTCGTAAGATTCGTTAGTCTCCAGTTGATACTGCAAAGTTCTCACCAGGTTCTAAACTGGAATCAGTGGCTGCGTTTGTAGTGGTAGTAGGCGCGCCATCCTCCTGTGAGCTGGGATCATTTCGGAAAGCTGAGCTTGGGGTAACAGGTGGGCCTTCATACGACTTCCTCCTTTCTGTCTCATCCCCATTTCCAGTTGTCTGTGACGATGACACAGGGCTTGTAAGTGTGGCGGGATGTTCAGTGCTGACGAGATATGATGGGTTGACAGGGAGCAGTGGCGACAAACAGGGTGACATTGACGGTTCGATATCGACTGATATGGGAGTTGAGTCCCTCTGGTTAGAAGGAGTTGCTACCGTGGATGCTGTCATTCCTGTGGATGAAGGATGAAACTCATCAGTAGATGACGAATGCCTAATTCTTGCAGAATGAAAAGTAGGCTGGGTGGTAGGATCATCTGGGCAATCCGCGTCAAGTGCATCGTTGGCATGCTGTTCCTGTGTACCTGTAAATGCTGGGTATGAGTAGATAGGATTGGTGGTCAGATGTGCTCTAGTCTCACACTGGCCAGTCATGGACGGGCTGAGTTGCGTGTTGGTTGGCATTGCTGCCACTGGAGAGTGAAGGGGATAGGATGGATTGTCAGTCAACGTTGCTTCAATGCCGTCTGCTGGTGGTCGGGGTACTACCGATGGGCCTTGGTAGCCCTTTCTTCTGGGAGATGCAGAGTGTCCGTGTTGAGTGTCCCTTTCAGATTCACGTGTGGGGTCGTTGTGTGAGTAAATTGGGTTGTTTGTCAGCTCTGTGTCGTTATCCCTGGCGCTTGATTGTGCAGCAGGATTGTGAAGCGGGTAGGAAACATTGTCAGTCAAAGCTGGGGTGCTGCTATTCACTGATAGCCGCGGTAGTGCTTGGCTCCGTGGACAAGATCGATCACGCGGTATATCGTCACTGGTTGTAACTGGTAAATCAATCTGTGAATGGCTTGGATTGGCAGTCAGTGACATGTTTTCAGTTCTTGCAGCCTCGTTTCCTGGTGTGTGAGGTGGACAAATTGGATTGTTTGTCAAAGTCGGAGTAGCACCATCCACTGGAGGGCTTGGAGTACCCGGAGGGCCATGGTAGAGTCTTCTCCTGGCTGATGCAGAGGGTTCATGGGGTGCCTGAGCGTCTGTTGGAACAAGTCTTGGTTTGCTTTCACTATAGCTTGGATTGGCTGTAAGTAGCAAGTTGTCACTTGTCACTGCATCCACAAAAGCGTCGTGATGTGGGTAAGATGGATTTGCACTCAATGCTTCTTGATTGTCTTCCTCTGCAGGGCGTTGAGGAATGGGTGGCCCCAGGTTAACCTCTGTTACTGGTGAGGGACAATGTTCACTCCGTGATTCCGCTCTGAGTGGGACACTGTCAATCAACGCTGGAGTGGAGATATTGTGAGTATCAGTTGAGGGGTTGCTACGAGAGGTTTGTGATGTATCTGTTGCATTCGCAGGGTGACTGTTGGCACTCGTCGCTTGTTGGCTGTATTCTTCATCTTTAGTTTGTGCTACGACTTTGGCATCAGTTGTGCCTTGATCGGAAGTTTCATTGTTTCCAGGGTTTCCAAGCTTTTTGCCATCCTCTGTTTCCGAGCAAACCATTTCTTCCTTGGAAGTACCCATGATGACAAGTTTCAGTTCCACATCTTCACAGGCACTCCTAGTGGCTTCATCAGGTATAGCTGATGACCTGGGAGTGACATTATTGATTGGCTCCATGCCTGGGATTGCTGGCAGCTGTACTCGCCCAGGCCTGGAGGTCTGCAATGGCTCGGTGTTAATGTAACAGTACACGTGTTCCGCTGGCGTTGACGAAGCCCTGCTACTGGTTCTACTCACGGTCATTCTCTTGCGACGGAGGAGCAAGATTACGATCACAAGCAAACCAATGATCCCTAGAAGACAAATGGGAATGACGATGGCAACGATGGAGACGGATCCACCACTTGATGCAACGCTGTCACTTTGATGTGTAGATGATATTGTGGAACTGGTAGGCAACGCTGCAAGAAAAGAAGCAAAAAAACAGAAGCAAACGTCTTCATTTTTGAATCATAACAAACTTTTTATGTAGTATTGTACAATGTAAATGCACAGTGCAGGCCAGAGGAATCCAACCTCATGAATAAAGTAGCGCAGCGTCGAGTGCACAGACTAGTATTCGTAGTGCTAGGGCTGCGTAGGAGCCTGCCCTGTTTTATACATGAGATCGGATTTCTTTGGCCAGCTCTGAAGTAACAAGTTATAGTTGTCGACTTCAAAAAGCACATGTACATACACATTGTACAGGTCTAACTTACCTATGCATTGATCTCCGGTATACCCAGTCAAACACGGGCATTCATAAGATCCATTTGTATTCGTACAATGTCTGTTGTCTGGATTGCTAGTCTGATTGCAGGTACTAACACCACTACTACATTCATCTATATCTGCAAGAAGAGAGGCAAGTACAAGACTTTAGTATTGATCATGGCATCTACAATCCATCTGCTGCCAACCAACTGGGTCTGTTTGCGTACCGCAACTTCTGATTTCCGTATTTTGAAATACTTTGCGTACTGGCAATGTACACTGCCCATCACGTGCGTTGCTAGTAATAGAGAGTGTAAGCTTCACGTTTGTTTCAATTTCGAATGTGAGATCTCAGGGCCAAAATGGCGCTCCTCACGATGCAACGAGATTACAACGCGACGGAGGGCCAACTCACGGGGGGGGGGGGGGGGCTATTCACCGCACGTTGTTTCTCACTTTCGAAATTGAATAAACCATGAAGCGTTAAGTCTCTAATGTTTTTGTTTTTACAATCACATAGTTGTCGGTGGCAGGATTTGCCAGTGTTAACATGTTCGACTTATACCATGGCACTATTTTCTTGCGCTATAATAATTATGTAGTCAAAGCACGCCATGCAATCGCTTTGACACAGGGAATAAACATTGCTCAGCTTGCGCTTGGCATGCTCCTACATTGTACATGTACATGTAGCTGTAGCTGATCGATCCTCTTCAATTTTCGATACCATTTTGCTCAAATTCCGTAGTGCTGACGGAGTGATTTTTACATACAAATATGGTAGAGTACGGAAGGTTGGCAGCACCTGGCCCTAGGAAGTAAGGTAGGGTGAATTCCCGTTTTTACACACGAGGTCTTTGTAATAATAATAATAATAAAACAGGTTGCGTAATGAAGCAGCATAACGATAGATGTGCAAAGTCATGATGCCTGGTCCGCTTCTGTCCTGGGTTCACTACCCCGTGCGTTGCAGCCGCGAGCAAAACCAGCTCAGGCTGAGAGTTCCCTCCATGATTGCTTGTCCAAAGCGCGCATTCTGAGCCCACTCAGATCAGTCATGGTCTTCAGTGGCATGTCTCTGGCAGCTGTGCTTGCCTTGACTGCCGTGGCCAGGTTCGATTTCGGGCGTCCACGCACACCGGTGACATCTCGACGGAAGTAGTTGTCCATTGCCTGCTGTGGCGGGGCATCTGAGGGCATCCTCAGAACATGACCCAACATCCGGAAACGGCGGACAGCAACGGTGTGCGAAAGTGGCTGTGTGTGTGCTCTGGAATATAGGTCTTTGTTGGAGATGATGGTCTTTGTGACCATTCCTAAATGAACGTGTAAGTTGATGTATGCTACGAGGCTCGAGAAGAAGGATTTTTCAGGATAGTTGGTCGATTTAAAATTCAAATGAAATAAGTTTTCAATGGCATAAAGCTATTATCTTTGTTTTCGACTCATCACAAGCTTATGTCGCACATTTACAAGTGCAGTGACCCGGTTGGGGGAGGAGGGTAATTTAACCCGTTTGGAAAAAAATCACTGGGCCATGTGTGACCCGGTTCCAAGAGTTGTGCCAGGTACATGTGTACCCAGTAGGTTTGAAACCCTAGAGCAGACACTGGCACTGCATGTAGTTCAGCTCAATACCAACTTACATGTTGTACAGGTCTAACTTACCTCTGCATTGATCTCCGGTATACCCAGTCAAGCATAGGCATTCAAAAGATCCATTTGTATTCATACAACGTCTGTTGTCTGGATTGCTAGTCTGATTGCAGGTACTAACACCGCTAGTACATTCATCTATATCTGCAGAGAGAGATAGGTACATGTAAGTACAAGTATTGATCATGGCATCTAGCATCCATCTAATACAGCTGTCAACCAACTGGGTCTGTTTGCGTACCGCAACGTCTGATTTCCGTATTTTGCAATGTTTTTGCGTGCGGGCAATGTACACTGCCCATCACGTGCGTGCTAGTAATAGAGAGTTTAAGCTTCACGTTTGTTTCAATTTCGTATGTAAGATCTCAGGGCCAAAATGGCGCTCCTCACGATGCAACGAGATTTCAACGCGACGGAGGGCCAACTCACGGGCGGGGGGGGGGGGGCAATTCACCGCACGTTGTTTCTCACTTTCGAAATTGAATAAACCATGAAGCGTAAACTCTCTAATGTTTTTTTGTTTTTACAATCACATAGTTGTCGGTGGCAGGAATTGCCAGTGTAAACATATTTGACTTGTACCATGGCACTATTTTCTTGCGCTATGTGTAGTCAAAGCACGGCCACGGCTGTCAAGAAGCGGCAACTTAGAAAGATGGCGTCGGTTCGAGATGGCATGGTAACCGCGCACGTGCCGTGGTCCGTGACTTGCTCATGTATGCACGCAAATGCAAGTCACAAACTCACAAAGATCGTCTTTGCATTTGGAGAAAATAGCTTCGACTCTCTTTGGAGGTTGGCGAGGTTTGCCTAATCTTTACTTGATTGCGATGCCGGTATGTCCTCTCAATAATTAGAACAAAGAGAGCTGATGATCGCTTCATTGCTGAGCAGAAGTAACAATCAACTCTCCTCATGTCCTCAGTGCCAAAGGCAGACGACTGCAATTCCACAACGAGCATTTCACGATGATGGAAACAATAATCGTGTACTAGTACACACTTGGACCATTTGGTCATCCCTATTCTAGCCGCTAGTCCGTCCAGCAAGCAGATATTGACTATTACGATAAGTACAACTGCGTGAACGAGGGCTCACCCAGCAAATTCAATTCAAGACGTCACTCCAGGCAAGAATTAGGGTCTTTACTCGAGAACTTCACAAATACAGGTCAAGGCACCCCACAAAACTGATAGATGGCAAGAACGAAAGACAAATAGGCTAGACAAAGTGTCCCAAGTGATTGAAAACAGCAGATCTACCAAATAAGACAGCTACATATGCCTAAACAACGATTCCCATACAGTAGAGAGTAGTATCAGGCAGAATGAAAGCCTTGGAAGTGCACAAATACAGCCACGACCGCCACAAAAATTGGACGACCGCCACAAAAAAAATTCTCATTGCTCTACCTCCTTGAAGGGTGAAAGTTACCAGCTATCCTATAGCGATGTCAGTTTATGCCTGTTGGAACCCCCCCCCCCCCCACAGCCCGCACGAAATACCTTTCAAATAATTCCAGGATGCAATTGCAGCTCCAGACAGGAGGAAGAAGAACACCGTGAAAAATAACGGCAACGATGCCCAAACACTCGGGAAACGGCTGAAGTCTTCCTGAAGATGTTAACATTGAATAGCCATCGATTACCAGCGTGGTTTGGTGACTTTAGAACTGTTTTGAGACTTAGAACGAAGCGATATCTCAAATTTGATGGAATTGTTACCTGTCAAATGCGTGGGCGAGCAGGCCAGCTGACTGGTTAGGCATGAACATGCATGAGCATGCATTGATTTTTCATGGTTCACGTGCAGAAAACTAAGTTGCCGCGATCCAACTGCAGCTAACAGCCGTGCGGCATGCACTCGCTTTGACACAGGGAATATTCATTGCTCAGCTTGCACTTGGCACGCTTCTACAGTGTACATACATTGTACATACATGCTTTTCGATTTTGACAGCATGTTACAAGGCGAGGACGCATAGTGCTCCTGACTACAACCATAACCCGGTTGGCAGAGTCCCGGTCTTGCGACCAAGGCTTCTTTACATACATGTAGCTGTAACTGATCGATCCTCTTCAATTTTCGGGACCATTTTGCCCAAATTCCGTAGTGCTGACGAAGGAGTGACATTTACATACAAATACGGTAGAATACGGAAGGTTGGCAGCACCTGACCTAGGACGTTAGGTACGGTGAATTCCCGTTTGTACACACGAGATCTTTGTAACCATTTCTAAATGTGCGTGTAAGTTGATGTACATGTATAGTACGGGGCTCGAGAAGAAGGATCTTTCAGGACAGTGGGAAGATTAAGAATTCAAATGAAATAAGTTTTCAATGGAATAAAGCTATATCTTTGTTTTCGCCTCATTACAAGCTTATGTAGCACAATCATGTACAAGTGCAGTGGCCCGGTTGGGGGAGGGTACTTGGACCCGTTTGGAAAAAGAGCACTGGGCCACAGGTGACCCGGTTGCAAGAGTTATTCCAGGTACATGTGTATCCAGTAGGTTTGAAATCCTAGAGCAGACACTGGCACTGCATGTACCGGTAGTTGTGGTCAAGACCAACTGTATTACATGTTGTACAAGTCTAACTTATTACCTATACATTGATCTCCGGTATACCCAGTCAAGCATAGGCATTCATAAGATCCATTTGTATTCATACAATGTCTGTTGTCTGGATTGATAGTCTGACTGCAGGTACTAACACCGCTAGTACATTCATCAATATCTGCAGAGAGAGAGAGAGAGAGATAAGTACAGGTATTGATCATGGCATCTACAGTCCTTTTCAAAAAGATTTGCAATCCTGGCGATCGCCCGCGGAGTTTGGCGTCTTACCGTATGAGCACTCGAGCGCTGCCTGGAAAAACTCACTGTGAACTCGAAGAAATATTCCACGCGAAAGCAGGAAAAATGACAACTCACTCACGTTGATACAGTCATGTACGTCTGTCGTCTACGTCTGGTTTACAAAAAAAGAGTTCTTCCTCGTATCGATAATGGAGTCAGAGAGGACATGTCGAAACGAAAGTGTTGTAAATGTTGACGAGCGGCATGGGTCCCAATTCGTTTTGTGACCAAAATAGTTTCTTTGAGCTGCGATGCAATTTACTCACCGTGTGACGAAAACGACATCGACACGGACTCATTCCCAAGGCCATGACTTGGCAAAGCTATCCGTGTGACTTCGACGACATTTTGAGAAAAGCAGACGCTTGTGAACGCTGATAGAATTCTAGAAGACGGCGTTGACTGCTAAATTCAAATAAAAATTGGCGATCTTGAAATACTAGAATAAATCTTAAAAAGCTACAGCGCGATGACTTCCATATTCACTCACACCATTGCAGTGTTGTGGGTGTGTTCACAATTTTATTTAAAAGGATTCTCCAAAAGCAAATGGATGCTTATCACGGAAGTCTCCCACATAAATATCGCAAGAAAAATGGGGAAATGGGGAGAGGAGAGTGGAAGATGAAGCATGGGAAGAAGGGAAACAAGTACCTAAATATCGAGGTATAAAAGCAGGAAAGAAATCGACGAGGGAAGAAATCACCTCTGCAGATAATAGCGGGACATTTAGATGAAAAAACCCAGCAAAGATTAATTTCAAGGAAAAAAAATTCTCAAACGGAAAAGTTCGGAATTCCAGTCAGAGAATATCTATGCTGAGAGTAATGAGCCTTTAGAGCAATGCGAAAATTGACAGAGGACTGAACGCAGCGGATGTGTTCTGGAAGTTTGTTCCATTCCACAGATAAACTGAAGAGAGGGGATTTAAGGAAATGGGCGCCAGAACGAGGTAAAACTATAGAGGACGGGTGACGACAACTAAGGGATACATTGAATTTGAAACGAATTAGCAAAGACGGAAACTGGTAAAAGACATGATGAAAATACAGCAAGGACAGAATCTGACGACGCCACTTCAGGGATGACCAGTCACAAGTACGATTAAGAATCTGCTTCGGGGTTTCCCACTCAGGAGGGTGCCGGGTCTTACAAAGCAGATATGAACGAGCAGCAACGGCTTGCAGTCGGTCTAACGTAAGCGAATCTGAATGGGATACGGCGAATGACCAGACAGGGACTGCGTATTCTAACAGTGGTCGTACGTAACACTTGTAGAGCAAATTCACGGTTGAAGCAGAAAGGAAATGGGCCATATGGCGCAACAGAAAAACACGACTGCGAAACTTATGGGTGATAGATTTTATATGGTCAGAAAAATTTAGTGAAGGAGTGATAGTCACGCCGAGATGACAGTGGCTATCACCTTTCTGAATAGGCACACCGTTCATTGTCAAGGGGGATGACGGGCCGGGGGCTAATGCATATTTTTGAAAGGGTAGGTGGACGCATTTACTGGTGTTAAACGTCATGGCAGTAGCTGATGACCATTGACAACACTTATCAATGTCAGTCTGGAGCAATGCATGATGGATAGGAAGTGAGGTGTTTGCTGAAGAAACAAGAATTAAATTAGAGTCATCAGCAAAAAGGGATAGGGTACTAGAAGCAGGGGCATCAGGAAAGGAGTTGATGCACAGGTTAAAAAGAAGCGGGCCGAGATGGGAACCTTGGGGTACGCCAGCGGTGATGGGCAAAGGGTCAGAAAGAGTTTGGCCAATGCGAACGCAAATACTACGATCACTGATGAAGTCCTTCACCCAAGAACAGGCAGAAAGAGAACACCAACCTGAAACAGATTGAATAACTAAATGATGACTAACTCTGTCAAAGGCCTTAGAAAAATCAAGGAACAGCTGGTCACAAGAAGACTTAGAGTCAAATGCACGCGAAACAATTGAGGTAAGCTGTACCAATTGGTCAACTGTTGACCTCTTTCGACAAAAGCCAAACTGGCTGGAACTGATAATTTTATGGCTCTCAACAAACGAGTAAAACTGACGGCTAATCATAGACTCATACAATTTGGCAACTGCATTTAACAGCGATATAGGACGGTAATTGACTGGGTGAGAAGGATTACCTTTTCCCTTGAACACAGGTACAACAACGGCAGATTTCCACTCCCTGGGCTGAGTACTGGACAGCAAGCAGCGGTTGAAAAGGGCGGAAAGAGACTGTGACGTGACCTCAGCTGTTTCACGGAGGATGCGATTGTTCAGCAGTCCAGCGGTTTTACGTTGAATGGGAAGTCTGGATAGCGTGTCAAATACGGACTGTACAGAGAATGGTTGTATGGAGAACTTCACAGTGGACGTGGGTGTTAAAATACCAGCTGAGTGCAGGTCAGGTGTTAGCAGTGGCGCCTGGCTGTAGCTCGCAAACACTTTGGCTAGGAGATTCGTCTTTTCCGTATTACTCGTGGCTGGGTAGGCTTGGTTGTCATGGTAGAGGTCAGGGATAACCGGAGACGGGCGATTCACATTACAAAGGATCTTTGCTTTGCGCCACCATGTACGTGTTCCATGATGCTGAGCCATGTCTCTCGCCATCCTCTCGTGATAATGGCGTTTCGCCTGCCGGAGCAAGGAAGTAAGACAGTTACGTGAGAGTCTATACGCTATCCAACTATCTGTAGATCCGAGACGTTTGGCCTTGGCGAAGAGGCGATCCCGAAGCCGCCTCTGACGATGGTGAACAGCAGAGTACCAAGGCTTGTTCGATGGAAATGTGCTTCTCCGGACAACGGGAACAAACAACGATACAGAGTCTTCCAGCGCTGTGCGCCACAATGACCAGGCCTCATCAACTGTTTGCGCATTTTGGACGGCATCTAGCAAGGGTAGTTGCCACACGTGGTTGTTAAATGCTTGCCAGTCCGTGTGGGCAAAGTCGAGCCAGGTGTTTTGTGCAGAAGATATTTGGGCTGTGGAGCCTGCTGATCGGTTGTGGACGACATCGAAAACTACAGGACAGTGATCAGATACCGGTGGGAGGATGGTGAGATGGGAGACTGCTATTGGAGCATTAGTGATAACTAGGTCGAGTAGTGACATGGCGTGAGCCAGTCAAGTGTCAGTCAGTTCGGCAGGAAGCGCGAGCTCCAACAACAACAACAACAACAACAACAACAACAACAAGTCGTTTGGTGCAGCCATCTTCTTTGTTTTGTACCAGCTTGATCACCAAAACAATGAAGAAAAAAAGTTTGACTTGAGGATAGGTTGGGATTTGAACTCACAACTTCATGGTCAGCAGACAGCATTCATAACCACAACGCCAAAAAGGAAAGGATAAATCGTGGGTTTTGATAAAAAATCGATACCGGCTTCCTGGGCAAATTGTAAACCATGGAAAAGGCCGGAAACCTGGCCGAAATTCTAACTCCTTAACGGCTGATCCAACTGTTCCGAAACCTTCACAGAACAATTTGCCGTGTCCTAACAAGCCATTCTATGTACTTTGTTGTCCAAATTTGAAATTTACCTTATCTTCATACTTTTTAAGACCCAAACCTGATTGTAAATCTTTTTGAAACAGACTATAGCATTCATCAAACACAGCTGCCAACCAACTGGGTCTGTTTGCGTACCGCAACTTCTGATTTCCGTATTTTGCAATGTTTTTGCGTACTGGCAATATACACTGCCCGTCACGTGCGTTGCTAGTAATAGAGAGTTTAAGCTTCACGTTTGTTTCAATTTCGAATGTGAGATCTCAGGGCCACAATGGCGCTCCTCACGATGCAACGAGATTTCACCGCGACAGAGGGCCAACTCACGGGGGGGGGGGGGGGGGGAGGGGGCAATTCACCGCACGTTGTTTCTCACTTTCGAAATTGAATAAACCATGAAGCGTATAAACTCTCTAATGTTTGTGATTTTACAATCACATAGTTGTCGGTGGCAGGATTTGCCAGTGTAAACATGTTTGACTTGTACCATGGCACTATTTTCTTGCGCTATATGTAGTCAAAGCACGGCATGTACTCGCTTTGACACAGGGAATATTCATTGCTCAGCTTGCGCTTGCCATGCTCCTACATTGTACAAACATGTAGCGGTAGCTGATCGATCCTCTTCAATTTTCGGTACCATTTCACTCAAATTCCGTAGTGCTGACGGAGTGATTTTTACATACAAATACGGTGGAATACGGAAGATTGGCAGCACCTGACCTTAGGACGTTAGGTGGGGTGAATTCCCGTTTTTTACACACGAGATCTTTGAAACCATTCCTAAATGAACGTGTAAGTTGATGTATGCTACGAGGCTCGAGAAGAAGGATTTTTCAGGATAGTTGGTCGATTTAAAATTCAAATGAAATAATAATGTTTTCAATGGAATAAAGCTATTATCTTTGTTTTCGACTCATCACAAGCTTATGTCGCACATGTACAAGTGCAGTGACCCGGTTGGGGGGGGGGGGGGAGTAATTTAACCCGTTTGGAAAAAGTCACTGGGCCACGTGTGACCTGGTTCCAAGAGTTGTGCCAGGTACACGTGTACCCAGTAGGTTTGAAACCCTAGAGCAGACACTGGCACTGCATGTAGTTGAGCTCAAGACCAACTTACATTATTGTACAGGTCTAACTTACCTCTGCATTGATCTCCGGTATACCCAGTCAAACATGGGCATTCATAAGATCCATTTCTATTCATACAATGTCTGTTGTCCGGGTTGGTAGTCTCACTGCAGGTACTAACACCGCCACTGCATTCATCTGTATCTGCAGGAAAAGAGGTTAGGTAAAGATTTAGCCGGAGGGAAACATATCAGCACACGAAGAGACAAAGCCAGTTGCAAATCTGACGAGGTCTTTCAGACCATTACTCCTCAAATTAAAAAAAAAGTTAAAAATACGAAGGTCCATCGCCACTTGCGTCAGAATAATTGGCTCTGGGCTACGGACTCCCTGTGAGGCTATGTCACCTGTCAATGAGCAACTACCCTCGTCCAGTATCTCTTTCTTGTTTTATTTTTTTCCCTTTCTCGTTCCCTTTCTCGTGTCTCTCTCTCTCTCTCCCTCTCTCTCTCTCTCTCTCTCTCTCTCTCTCTCTCTCTCTCTCTCTCTCTCTCTCTCTCTCTCTCTCTCTCTCTCTCTCTCTCTTTCTTTCTCACTTGATCTCCCTCCCTCCCTCCCTAGCTGCATTCATATCGATGCCTGGTCGTGGGCTATGATTCCGAGACCTCCGGTCGGATGAGCCTCGCCAACCACATCGGCACATCGCCCATACTCCCCTTTGTCTCGTTTTCCAGTGTCATTTCAGTTGTCCTCTTCCCCTGATTATTAGTGGGGCTGTGTTTGCTAGTAAAAAATCATAAAAGTTATGATGATGTGACGACACACAATTACGTCAATTTATATGGCATATTGGAGGAAATATTGAGATGAATGGTACACAGGCGTAATGACCGTGTGAGTAGCGCCAAAGAGTACAAGAACTATGACAGGGTGGCGGGAAGTCAAAATACCACTAGCTTCCTAACAAACTCCTTCTCTATTGGCAATGTAAATCTGACTGCCGGAGTTGTTTTGCCCCTGCATGTGCATGCCTGTGTTGTGTTAATGCTTGGTCCACAGGCTGGATGTACAGTACGTGTTATTCTACACATGTACTTGTACTTGTAATTCTGTTGCCATGACTTCTACCTGTGGGCAGGCAATGTATCACTCTGTATTTTTTTTCAACGCAACCAACCTCTGTATTCGCATCTCTCCAATGAGATTCTATTGATGCCCCCCCGCACCCCTCCCCCCCCCCAACACAAACAAACCTTACCGCCGAGACATACACCACCTACACTTACTTACTTCATATTCTTCACCTAACATATTCACACCAAAATATTATATTAACCTTCTCAGTGTCATTTGATGTTGTCTTCATACATGTAGTTCAATACGAACCCATTCAATGGATATTTTGTCATTCATTACCCTGATGATGGCGAGGCCCGAAATTTTAGTGTAAATGTAAATTTTTAAGTTTTTAATCGCAGTGAAGATACCATTTTCGCAGTTTGGAGTCAGTAAGTGAAGTCTCCTAAGAATGTAAATGTAGTTACATTTAAAATCTCATGTATCACTGGTGAGTAAGTACTTGCTGTTGTTACTTTATTTTACTTCACCAGAATTACAGGCAGTAGAATGCCTTCTCACTAGACCAGGTCTAGTTCTCTTAAATCATGGAGAACCGTGGGTCAGTGAATACAACCCGGACATAGTGTGTACATGCAGGGGATGAAAGATACCAGCATTAAGAGACCCACCAGGCCATTTGGTTTGCACAATAACACCTGGAGAACCAAGGCAATAAAGTTATTGCCATGCATTCGAAGACTGATTGGGACACTGCGTAATATGGAGAAACACCCGGATACGGCATATGTCACACCTTTGCATGCACAGCACAAGAGAGTATTCTTTGCATCAGCGCGGATCCCAGGACCTTTGCATTAGCATGGATTCCGGGGTCTTTGCTAGTACAGGGGCCAATTCAAAAAATCGACCTCTAAAATACATGCCTTGACACATGTTGGCTAACAAGGATTTTTCGGTGTTATTTGATAGATAATGTCTTCAAGAGCATCTTGGCCCAGTATGGCGAGTCCAATCGCGTCCAAAGGTCCCGAAATCACCCTCGATAGGAATACAAAATTGCCGAAAAAACTAAGTTCTCATCGGCTATATTCAAGCATTTTCAAGACTTTCTCGGTACTATATTGACTGGACCTGGGAGTTTTTACCCTTATATGTGCCAGGAGCTATAGTAACACCGTACATACACAGGATGCGAACCGACGCGTACACTGATTTTGTGCGAGAGTTGGAAAGATTGAGCATCAAGTACCGTAGTGTAGTTGTGACATACCAGAAATGTGTTACCTCGTTTGGACACTTTCTTCAAAGTTTTGCATTGACTCGCTGGTGCTTTTGCTGTGGGAACGTCCACGAATGGATCGATGCTAAATTCAGCAGAACCTTAATTACAATGTCATCTTGGCTCCCCGGAAAAGTAGGCATGATTCCAACAAGGAGCAGCACAACAATTATGTGTGGAAAGCAGGGGAAAGTCATCATAGCTTGCCAAGCCAGTTGTAACTATTCATAGGACTAATCTACAACCGTGGAAAGTTTAAGACCTGGCTAACTTCATCGGGCTGGAATGAAGGCATTTTACTTTGTGAGTACTGCTGCACAGGAGGTGTTACAGTGGACGAGCATTTGATTCGAATCTACAAGAGCGGCTAGTGTTAGTACCATGATTTGAACACACCGACCGTGGTGATCAGCTGCCATTAGCACAAAGCCTATTTACCAGCTCAACAGCTCTAGGACAACTGCCTTAGGAGTGCCATGCTGCAGTGAGAGGGAGTAGCTATGTGGTGTGGAGTGTTACAAAAACGAAATCCGAGTACCTGGAGGGAACCTATCCCAATATGCAACACCAGCAGTAGAAGAATCATTTCCTTGTCGCAGAATTTGATGGCTGGGCCTAGGCAGTGTGAAACTACAGTTATACTTATAAAACACTAACTGCAAGAAAGAGTCCGATGTCCAATGTCGTGGCTTGTCTCTCCTGAACTGATCACTGCACGTAGTTGATGCGATTCAAGAGCGGTGGTGAAGAGGGAAAACATGTTCATGTAATACCTCATGAACTAGTGGCTAAAGAATTGTCCCTGACTGCAGAGCCAACAGTGATGGTGTAGGTGGCGGAGTAGAGATGGGCTCAGCTGTACGGCGTAGAGTTTCCGAAGCTCAGACGGAAGAACAACTTCAGTTAAAGTGAAACACATGGATGCTAAATATGGTGGTAAAGACACACCTGGCAATATGGCGGTAAACACACACCTGCCCACACATGCTCTCTAGGCTGCAAAGTTCTGGCACAGATCTCTCCTTCTCACCACCACCACCATCAGTTCGCGCCTGGCGCCTGGTCGATGCATGGCTGGCGGTATCCGGCATAGCAGGCTGGTACATCAAGTAGCGCATGGCACATAGATGATGACACAGCAACGACATAGCTCGATTGCGACGTACGTTTCGTCCCCGCTGGACTCATCAGGCAATCTTCTTCTTGGATGTCTTCATACGGAGCTTGACTCGGGAGAATGAAGTTGAAGACACCACTGCAGCTGTACTTATGGTTGCTAAATATGGTGGTAAAGACACACCTGGCAATATGGCGGTAAACACACGCTTGCCCACACACGCTCTCTAGGCTGCAAAGTTCTGACACAGAGCTCTCCTTCTCACCACCACCACCATCAGTTCGCGCCTGGCACCTGGTCGATGCATGGCTGGCGGTATCCGGCATAGCAGGCCGGTACATCAAGTAGCGCATGGCACATAGATGATGACACAGCAACGACATAGCTCGATTGCGACGTACGATTCTCCCAAAACACATGGAAGCGAAAGTATTCGTATCACAATGTTGGGATCGATCAGCTTTTTAAACTGCAGCTATTCACATGTGAGCGTTGTCCAACTGCAGCCTTGAATGACAAGCTAGCCAATGTTTGGACTGTTTTATGCAAAGGATTTTGGTATTTTCATTTTCATCATTTTTTCGTTACAGCACTGCCATCGCATACAAGTAGTGTTGTCCTTCTTATATTGCTGCAAGATCTATCGTATTATCTACACGTACTTCGAGTAAATTAGTTCAGGTTGAAACTGTCCTATAGCACTTCGTTCCTTAGACTCTGACAGTTTCCTACCACCTTTTCCTTCTCCTGTTAGTATTTGACAATACCTATTCTCTCAGTTGAAGTGTAACGCCGAACCGTCTGACGCTTCCCTCGTGTTTGCAGTCTGAAAATTATAGTAATGCATGCCTGTAAATAGTCTCATGTACCTGCTAGCTGCACATACATGTACACGTACCTCAATGCTAACATTCGACGCGACATGTAAATGTATATGAACATGTCCAATAGCCAAGTAGTTTCACTGCACTTTGGAAATTTTGTTTTGACACTGTTAAAGTACAGTACTTGTTGCCGTACTGTATCTACTGCTTATTCTGAGAAAAATGAGGTGCTACTTGGCCATATACATGCCAGTAAAAATGGATATAGGAGCAATTCTAGTTGGGTTGCTATGGTAATAACGGCTTTTTCTATTTTGATGTTTTTCACCATGTTCGGACACAATTCGGCAATCGAAACCTATGCCATCGTGTTCAGGAGGCAAAAACCATCCAGAAATGATCATAAAATCTATGTTAGCAAACATGTGTCAAGTAAAAGTGAGAAATTTCAAATGGGCCCTAGGACTATGCATCAAGCAGTAACTCCAGCGTCTTTGTATACATTTATCTATCATATCACTTACCATCGCATTCTGCACCGGCATAACCAGATAGACACGGGCACTGGTAAGATCCCTTCAAATTCTGGCAGTGCCTGTTGACACTATTGGTCATGTTGCTGCAGCTGTGCTTACCGGATACACACTCATCTATATCTGTGTATACCAGCAGTGTGGATCAGCAATGTAGACCAGAATTAGCAATTATAAAGGCAGTACGAGGTGATCTGCAATTATGTAACGTGTTTCTAAATTTTCAATTTTTTCTCTACTTTCCGGGACCTTTTAAAATGTGCCAACTATTGTTATGAACCAGGTTGCCTTCTGTTGTGCCCTCACCAAACATGTGCCCTCGTCGGCCTTCTCTAAAGGTGCAAATTGTCATCCTGCAGCAAGGGTGTGGTTTTTCTAGACCATGAAAGTAGATGTACATTGAGTACTATTATGTGACCTTGAGCAAAGTAATGGTCTACACCCGTGAATGCCACTCGCAGACCTGTAAAAACAGATTGGCAAGGTACGGGTACAGGCTATCTGTCTGTTGCAACAACGAACGGCATTAGAATCGACCAAATCTCGGCAACATAGGTGATACGAATACTGGAACCTGTGCTAATCTAGTCAAAATTCGTCTCACAGCAATAGCCCTCTTAGAAAGCTCATCAGAACAATAAAATCATCGTGAGACGTTCTTTCGAAACAAGAGTGGTGTGGGTCAATGCCTGGGTGACCAACAGCTACGAAAAGAGAGAGCAATGGGAGTTGTTTACTATCTTTGCTCCTCCACTGTAGTCGCTGTTGAGTACTGCTGGTAAACGAATGGATATGTCGAATAGGAAAGCCATTACCCACTGTTGTGAAACCACAAGTTCTCGAGAGTGAAAGGCCTTCTCGCTTGTGACATTGTGTTCGTGTCAATGCAGTTGTATCCCGACTCCGCCGTACCGCTGATGATTACGACGTAGTATACGCTACAGGCGCTATGTGCGGTTTGCTGTGTGCGCTGCAGTTGTATGTTGTATGTGTATGCTTTTCTCATATACGCTGTCATTTTCATGCTATAACTACCTGGTGGTTTTAGTGTTAGTTATTCAGTTCATTCAGTTAGTTCAGTTCATTCAGTTAGTTCAGTTCATTCAGTTAGTTCAGTTCATTCAGTTGTTCCATTCATTGTTCATTGTTATTAGTCGATGGAAGTGAAAGATATTGTTGAGAATAAAAAGTTGTCCTCGTGCCGTGTGGGGTCGTTCGTTCCTGACAATTTAGAGAATCTTAGAGGGTTCACAACATTTGGCGACCACGCCAGGATACGAAGCGAGCATGGCACAGGAACTATGGATCATTGAAGCCAGCTTTATCGCCAACGGAATTCGGTATGGATTTGAAGGCGATAGGTTGAGAGAATACGTGGAGAAGAGGCTCCGACAGCGCGAGGAGTTCGAAGAGCACAGTGCTAGACGGCAAGAGGGTGCACTCCGCACAGAGTTTAACGAAAAGCTCAAGAAGATGGACGAGCGCATCGCCGTCAGTACATATTATGAGGAAGCAAAGCGAGATTTGCTTGCCTCGCCCAGAAGGACGCCGGACAAGGCGTGTAAGACTTTGCTTACAGACAAGCAGCGGTCAGAAGAGTATTCGAAGCCAGTGGGAGGATCAGATCCGAGGCCCACTGGGTCGGTACAGTGCATGGCGACATCGGTCGGAGACGCTCAGAAGCAGCTGGAGTCTCGGCCGAACGAGTTGGAGGCGCAAGAGGCGCAAGAGTTAGAGGCGAAAGAGTTGGAGGCGCAAGAGTTGGAGGCGCAAGAGTTAGAGGCGCGAGACTTAGAGGCGCGAGACTTAGAGGCGCGAGACTTAGAGGCGCGAGACTTAGAGGCGCGAGACTTAGAAGCGCAAGGCGTAGAAGCCGAGAAAATGAGAAGGGCGATACTGGTTAGCACGGAAGAAGTAAGCGGCGAGACGGTGTGGAACACGGAAATCGGATGTGTGTCATCTGGTCCAGCGTCCGCCCCACGAGGCAGTGACCCAGTGACTGTGTCGTGTGTGACATCCCACAGCGGCAGGCTTCGCGTGTTGCTGGACTCGGGTGCCAAGGCGTCATCTGTGGCTGCAGCATTGGTGTCCACAATCGATGCAGAGCACGTTGGTGTTAATGTTGAGGTGAAGCCGTCCGGTGCGGAATCAACCCAACAGCGGATGGACAAGTTCGCCATCACGATCTTGGGTAGCTCCGCAGTCATTCTGGTATGTGCTCTCGTGAAGCCAACGTTAGAGCTTCATCTGAAGTGCGCAAGCCCGCAGACCGTTGCTCAGTTGGCAGAAATGGTGAGCACTGGTAATATTCCACCTTGGCCACCCCCACAGCAGCGGATGACTCGTTCTGAGCGTGTAGTCAGAGCCCCGGTCGTTTTTTGACTCGTGAGTTGTAGTACGGCGGTGAGAAGCCCTTTGGTGGGGAGAATGTTGTGAAACCACAAGTTCTCGAGAGTGAAAGGCCTTCTCGCTTGTGACATTGTGTTCGTGTCAATGCAGTTGTATCCCGACTCCGCCGTACCGCTGATGATTACGACGTAGTATACGCTACAGGCGCTATGTGCGGTTTGCTGTGTGCGCTGCAGTTGTATGTTGTATGTGTATGCTTTTCTCATATACGCTGTCATTTTCATGCTATAACTACCTGGTGGTTTTAGTGTTAGTTATTCAGTTCATTCAGTTAGTTCAGTTCATTCAGTTAGTTCAGTTCATTCAGTTAGTTCAGTTCATTCAGTTGTTCCATTCATTGTTCATTGTTATTAGTCGATGGAAGTGAAAGATATTGTTGAGAATAAATAGTTGTCCTCGTGCCGTGTGGGGTCGTTCGTTCCTGACAATTTAGAGAATCTTAGAGGGTTCACAACACCCACGTACCACCAGCATCGTATTTAGAGGCTTTCCACTTTGTAACATTACTTTATCGATTTTAGAGGCACGCACAAGGTGAGTGACCTGGGGGACGTCTACAGTCACATAATTTACTAATTTCATCCAGTTCCTCTGAATTAGGCTTGCTTCAACACTCCTTGCCGACCTTCCATGACGCCGATACTGAAGCCTCGGTAGTAGGCCTCGACCAAAATGCTTGCGCATATTTCGGCATATTTTGTGAGACAGTTCATATAATTATGGCAAACGACAAAGGGAATATTGGAATGAAGCCAGCATATAATTCAAATATTCTTAAGAAAATGAGGACAAAACATTGATATTATGGACAAAATGCGTTCAGAAATGTCTTTTATGGATGAATTTGGAATTTCACTGACATGTACTATAGTAGGCAAGGGTCAAGCATTCACCCCATCAATACTATTCCGCATGTGTTTTGATTTGCACCATAAGCATGATAGCCGTGAAGCCAATGAATATTCCAAGGTTGTAATTTTACTGAAATTATCTACACTTTCTGCTTATGTCGAGCATATTTTGGCATATCTTTTTGCATATCTTGCTATGTCTTTGGCATATTATGGACGTTTTCCCTGATATGCGACGAGCATAATATTTATGCTCTTCTTTTAGCATATTTGGTCGAGGCCTACTCGGTAGCAATGGTCTACTAAAATATGGGTTTGGGATTATTACATTGAAAGTCTTCAACGGATATAAATTTGCATTACCGGGTATCCTGTAAATGGAGGGTCGGATAGTCACTCACTAGGGGATATTTAATTTCAGTGTAGATCACCTCACGCATATCTATATGTACATGCATATGTACATGGATTTGAAATACAAATGGAAAATGTTCAAGCTAGTGATCCATGCATGTACCAGTAGTGCAAATCACCTCCATCCCCCAACAGGCTCTCAGCTGCACGACAGGAATAAAGCACTGGCAGTACGTATTCTTGTCGTGCAGCTGAGACTGTGAGAGCCTGCTCGAGCATAGAGGTGTTCACACGTGGGAAGAAAACGCTGCAGTTGAGTTGGAGGGTGTTTTGAGGATACCAGTACAATGCTACATTCACATACCAGTACAGCGTTCCCCAGTGTAACCGATCAGACATGGACACAAGTATGAACCATTCGTATTCACACATTGTCTGTTGACTGGATACGCCGCCATGCTGTCGCAGCTATGCGTGCCAGCACTGCATTCATTCTCATCTTTATTGACACCAGCACGTAAAATAGGATAAAATCAATTGTTATTCGAAGAATTTAAAGGTAATTGCACTATAGTTCTGCATACACAAATTCGGCTGATACAAACGCTGAAAATGGCTTCTAAGACTTTCAAGTCCAGACCAGACCCATGACGACCACGGCACAAAATAATGAAACAAGAATCAGAATACGAATTGCAAATAAAAATGAACTAGCTCGGACGTAACAGGACACCTTTCATTGTTGATATGCGCCGAAGTAGGAAGACACCTACATGGAAATAGTCAATGGAATTCCAAATGCCAAGTTTATCCGCACCTGCCATGAGGCCGAGTATTACCATGGCATTAGAGTAGTTATCAAGGATAGGCGCAACCCTCTCCTCCCCCCCCCCCCCAGATATGTGCACAATTATGTACATGTATAGTGCTTATCATTGAAATCCGATCAAGCGATTCAATGCCAAGCCGGGCCATGTGCTCTCCTAAATGGAGACCTTCACGTACGAGCAGTAATATTAACACTCACCTTTACACTGGCTCCCAGTGTATCCCTTAGAGCACGGGCAAGAGTACGAACCAGCTGTATTGACACACTGTCTGCGTACATCACCGTCACGTGACAGGGATCTACATAGAGAACCTCCGGAAGCACATTCATCAATGTCTGTATTATACATTCCCATGGTAACGAAATGTCATTCAAATGTCGCTACATGGTTTGATGTAGGAAAAACCCACCGTGACAGCAGAAAAAACAAATGTGTGTTCTAAAACACTCCGACTCATGGAGCAGTCCTGTCAACTGGACTGTATGAAATTGAATAAAACATTTCCGGATATCATGTTAACAAATAGTCATTAACGAGATGTGTGGGTGAGAAATGGAACTGACGCGTACTGGGAATTGGAACGGGAAGGTGAATAGTGGAAAACAGGAGGGAGGGAGAGAGAGAGACAGGGACACACAGACAGAGGAAGAGAGAAAGAGTGAGAGAGAGAAAGAAAGAAAGAAAGAAATAGAGGGAGAGAGAGAGAGCGAGAGAAAAAGAGAGAGAGGGAAGGAGAGAGAGAGAGAGAGAGAGAGAGAGAGAGAGAGAGAGAGAGAGAGAGAGAGAGAGAGAGAGAGAGAGAGAGAGAGAGGTAAGCAGACAGACAGGCAGACAGACAGACAGACAGACAGAGGCAGAGAGAGAGAGAGAAAAATAAGGAGAGCGAGAGAGAGCGAGAGAGGGCGAGAGAGAGAGAGAGAGAGAGAGAGATAAAGCAAGAGAGACGCACACACACACACACACACACACACACACACACACACACACACACACACACACAGAAAGAGACACAGCGAGGGAAAGCAGACAGAGAGCCAGAGCCAGAGAGAGAAAGAGAGAAGGATACAGAGAGAAAGGGAGCGAAAGAGAGAAGGACTGTGGGGTACAGAAGAAGAGAGGATTGAAAGAGAGAGAGAGAGAGCTTGAAATGGAGAGAGAAAGTGAAAACACCCAATGATCACCTGAACATATTGGGCCCTGATAACCAATCCTGCATGGGCACTGGAATGATCCAGGACTGTTCTTACATATCCTGTGACTAGGGTTGCGTAATAATCCACACTGCAACGTCGCTGGTAACATACACTCATTGATATCTAGAAACAGTGCATACAGTGCATAGAAATAAGAAGGACAAAACACCTTTGCATACACACAATTCAGGTGCTCTTGTACGTATGGTCGGTCAGACCAAAATAATTGCTTCAACATTTGCAGGAGCGTTCGTATTTCACGATGTCAACTGTGCTCGGGGTCTGGTTTAGCTTGACAAGTTTCTAACTACCATAGGTAGAAAATATCATTATAAATAAAGCTTGTTTGCCGGCATCAGCAAGCCCGCCTGGCTGGCAGTCGCATAAGCCAAATGGACAGAGGACATGAGGAACGAGCGAGGTATATATGTATATGTACATGTAGGTAGAAATAGACGGAGGAAATGTTGCGTCCTGTGGACACACGTACCGGTGCAGTGTCGCCGTGGTGCTTCACGGTAACCACTAGTACACCTGCATGTGTAGCTGCCTATGTTGTTAGTGCACTGTGCGTTCGCTTGGCAGCTATGTCCATTCGCACTGGAGCATTCATTTACATCTGCACGTGACACAATTGCGCATGCAAAGACAAACAGAACCCTCATGATTAGCCCTATTTTTTTTAACACCAGCATTGGCTTTTTTGAAACATTACTCCGGCTGGTAACGTATTCAGAGCAAAGTTATATCATCACCTAGGCTTTCAATAATAATAGTTATGCGGGCCGGATAATCCTTTTACTTCAGTATATAACAGCAATAACAAAAACCGTAAAACCCCGAATTCTGAACTCTTTCCTTTAATACGCACTGGGGTGCAGCGTGAATATGCAAATTACTGAGGAGCACACGTAACACAGTCATAACAAAGAGTATGAAGTCAGTTTGTGCTCACCTGCACATCTAGATGTAAATATATTCAGACGATAGCCCGGCACACACTGACAATGGTAGGAGCCGAATGTATCCACACAGTATGTGCGATCGGAGTCGGGTATGGGACCACACGGCACACAGCGCCCAGTACCAAAACAACACTGCCTTCGCTCGGCACCCGTACGACACGGGGATAAGAGACACTCGTTCTTGTCTGCATGAACAACGGGTGGACCAAACGGTACCCAATCCAGCAACGCTTCACGCTTCTTCAATTTCAAACGTGAGAAAAAGTGCATTGAATCGCTTTCTTTCAATTTGAGTTGGCCCTCTGTCGCGTTGAAATCTCACGTTGCAACCTGAGGAGCTCAAATTTGGCCATGAGATCTCACGCTCGAAATTGAAGAAAAAAACCTGAAGCGTAAACTCTCTAATATCCTTCAAAACGTACACAATTCCTGTGCATGTACGAAGCTTGAAACTAAAACAGCTAGTGACCCGACGACGTTCAATGAAGCGCAGTATTGCGTTATGTATTATCAACAGTAAAGGTGTGTTGTCTTTGGACAAGAGCATGCTATCTTCACAGCTCTGTACTAGCGATAGACAGCAATCAGATCTTAATGTTACACCGTTAGGAGCAGAGCATAACTACGGTATGCCATGTTAGCGCGAAAGTTGATGTTCTCAGGCTATCAACAAATCGCCTGTGTTTCGCGAGACTACGGACTACGACGCCGCCTAAAGTGAGTCAATAGGGAGGTTTAAGCATCACGAATTTCGCGTTCGAGTTACGCGAACATTTTTCGGTTCGCGAAATGGATTGCGAATTTTCGTTCGGAATACTTAGTAGTCGAATCACGAATCGTGGATTCGTGCCAGGACAGTCATAAATTTACTACGCTGTACTGCCTGTACACAATCATGTACATGTACCACGTGTCAACATCATGCATGTTTGATTATCCTTCTCATAACGCGAATTTCGACACTGAGTTCGACTTGCCTTTGAATGCGAACACGAACGAGATTTCGTCTTGCTAAACCTACGTAGTGATGATACCATTCTCACATTGTGTGTTGATTGATTGTATCACCAAGGGCATGGTCAGTTCCCGCCGTGCTGCCTGCTGTTACTTGTAAGCCAACTCCGTGATAATTAAAATTCGACGACGCCTTGCATTATTCCTGTCTCATGCATGTAACTGAGAACTTAACACTCTCGCAGTCTAGACGGGAGAACCCCTCGTCGCTCCCCTAGGCCATGGAATCTGTCATGACTATCTGTAAAGCATACTGTACAGGCCGAACATATCGTCGGGCAACTCCAAAGAAAGGGAGTTCGTCCGGTCGAAAATTTCGTCCATGGATCACAAGAGTGTATTGAAAAGCTGGACAAATCGACATTAGTCCGGCATTCAATTTAGTCCAAAAGCTCCTTGGACGAAAAAGACGAATTTAAATTCCAGACGACTATTTCTGCTTATACATTAATATCTCACCTCTAATGATTAACGTGGTCAGGGTGTCCATACCGGCAAGTCTGGCAACATTACACCGTCCAACCGCTGAGAACGCGAATTTAATCTTGAACTTTTGATCTATGGAACGGATGGAGAAGAGAAAGCTCTGGTACTCGACATGGTCCTGTCTTGAAACGGTCACAGGTGACCATGCACCCCAAGTCGAGTCCCAAAACGACTGTGGTGGTTCACCCCGTGCTAAGAATAGTCGCACGCTGCACGCCCCCTGCAGTGTGTACCGTATTTCGGTCAGTTCAATATCGCAGCCAGCAGGAAACTCGTAGCTCAGCGTAAACCAAGCATTGAGTCTCAACGGGCTGTCGAGGGTGATGGTGTTTTTCCAGAATTCATAGTAAAGATTTCCTTGAGCGTGAAAGGTCCGTTTGCGACGCGCAGGAAAGCAAGGGTTGGTAGCGGCGCCGGCAATGGAGACCACGCTAGTCCACCAGTATAGCACGATCAACAAGACTACAACGCATCGGGAGAACATGGTGGATACCGGTGAATGCTAATCAGTCTCCGGGCATCGGTGTATGCTGTTGAAGAATTAACTCAAACTTGGAAAGGTAATCAAGTCTTGTCAGTCTCTCCAGCAGGATTACTCAATTCCTGGTAGATCTACTATAGTATAGACCTGTGCATGCCCTTAGGGTCCACATTGCAATCTTCATGCGACTTGTTCCGCCGTCTTTCTCTTCCGACCTGAGCCCTGACTGGAATCAGTAATCGCTCAGCACCCCGTCACACTGTGGGTATGAGTGGATCCGTATCATTGCAAAAGTGCTGTGGGCAAAGCTGCTAGTTGTGCGGCGGACGCTGACGGTTGTGTCTGGGATTGGGCTATTGAGCAGTACATGCAAACACATGCTGACCTATTTGATTTACCATGGTTGATTTACAATGGTTACAGCAAGCTTGCCACTATGCATCATTCCCAGCATTTCCTTTTGACTTTGACTAGGTTAGACAGAGAAGATGAGGGCAAAACATCTGTGCGAAGTGTCCTTGATGGCACGATCGTGACATGTATATCGAGGTCGAACCACTTGCCCACACTAGCTAGAGTGGGTGATATCCGCCATGATTCACAACTCGTCAGGGTCTCACTTTCTAAAACTATCCAAGTTACTTTGATCATCAGCCTCAATGGCAAGACAAGGGCCACATGTAAAGCATACCAACAGGAAACGGTTCTCGTCCGGTAAAGCAGGGTGCCGACCTCCTTGTCGTACACAGGTGCTGATCAGGCGCCTGCGGCTGCCAATTCAGCCATGTGCGTGGCACATGCCATCAATAGGTTGGCGTGCTGCAGGATGCACGTGCGATGCTTCTGGTCTTGACAGATGCCAGGGCTGATTTACCAGATTGTCTTTCTGCAGGTGGGGTCCAAATATTTGCATTGGGATAAAGTTAATGGACAATCAGCTCATGCGTCAACATTGCACTGCACTGACGTTCTACAACTAACTGGCGGTCAGCTCTAGCACATCTTGGATGCGCACTCCAAACAGCATTCCAACTTGGAAGGTTCTAAGTGTTAGCTCTAACACAGGAAAGGAAGTGCACAGAACAAAGACAGGCTGAAAGTCTCAGCTGTGGAGAACGTTGACGGATGTAGATACAGGTCGATGACAATACTGGCAAAACCATTGGACTATACGGTCAAAGCACGATCCAGGGACACACAGTAACAAACCACACAACTTGTACGGATCTTAAGATACAAAGAGCAACTGGAAGGAAGGGAAGCCAAAAGAACATAAATCGTTCAAAACCGAACGCCTCAATAATGCAGTACTATACGTAGACAATGCCAATGAAAATGGACCAGTAACAGGGGCGGATCCAGAGATCTCTACAGGGGGTTCCGGTTGAACTAAAATTGAACAGTCAAATTATTATGGAATCAGATGTGCGGTTGACACTTGTAATAACGACAATCCGATTGTGTTAGTGGAAATCACATGCTTTTAAACACACACTACGGACATATACCGGTACATGAATTTTTCCATCATCGACCACACCACAACTGCGCTCTCCAGCCGGCCTCGAGTCGACACGTTGCCACAGCACACCACCATCGCTGGAGACTGAGTCGGAGCGCAGTTGTGGTGCGATGGACGATGGACAACCTGTACAGGGCCAAATGCTGCTGCTTACCCTACATTGTATATTATTTAGTACGGACACACATAATCATAATTCATATACATGACTGTATGCAATCGACTGGCACACAGGTTCAGTGAGGGCTTGAAGACCCTTTCAAATTCTTGTAAAGATCGAATATGCAAGCCATGGGTACGTTGAGAGCCAGGAATGCCGAAATGACAACTAAGTTTCTTTCCCTGCCCATTTGTACTTTCGGAAAATTTTGGCGTTTTTACGATGCAAAAATGCTCTATAGTCACAGGACAAGAGCATCGTCTTCACTTCAGTGACAGAAACAACAACAGCGAAACAGTGTCGACAATTGTACAATCCTTCCAATGTCATCTAAAACACATCGCTGGCGCAGCACTCCGTTCCTGCGGAGGACCAAATAGTCACTACTGCATGCTGCAGCAGGTAGAGATTACTGACTTTGCTTGGGTGTCGGAGCCCTCATCTTCTGAGGAGCTTGAACTCTACGTGTACGATTCGAAGTTCGTTGAAGAGTCACAGTGTTTCTCTTCTGCAAAAAACTTGTCCAAGGAATACTGACCACACCACACCCATCCTGAGCAGCAGTGAATGACAGTGCCAATGGAGGTAAGTTTAGATCGTTTCGAAAGATCAAAAAGGAAACAACCACCCAATGTTGTCTACAGTGTCCGTTTGTAAATCACGGACGTGAACACCAATACAGACTACTACTATACCGGTGCAGCATCGATCTACCGAACGCGCATGCAGTGCATTGTACTCCTTGACTCAGAGACTGCGCGCACTGTGATCGGACGGACGTCCTTTTGTGCACACATGATATTTTTCGATATTTCTCAGCAGCACACTTTGCAAAATTTAGGGGGTTCCATGGAACCCCCTCCCCCCCCCCCCCTCCCCCCCCCCCCTGGATCCGCCACTGAGTAAGCAACAGAAACAAGCAGCAGTTTCACACGACGATCGTTTGGCAGTATAGGTAAGTACGGCTCATTGCTCTCATTGTCGACGTACAGTACTGTATTACTGAGGCGTTCGGTTTTGCACAATTTATGTTCACTTATCAACAGACTATGGTTGAATCGCCACAGTAGCATACACATCCCACAGCAATACAGAATGTAGAGATCGTGAGCAACCACAGAAATGATTGTCAGCAGTGAAAGATCAGCCAAGCAAAACGGCGAACTAAGAGGAAGTGCCTGGGTGGATTGTAGGAAAAGAGGATACAAAAACCTGTAAGCAAATAATTACAGGTACAAATATGTTGAACTCAAGACGAAATTTCAGAGCTGAGCTGATTGGAAAACTACCCGAAGA